GATTCATCACGGTGCCTCAATGCATCTTTACACCCCTACTAGGCACTGTTAAGAAAACGCAATAAAATCATTTTATATACAGCTGAAGCAGTTCCAAGTTAGAATGAAACTAAGCTATGCAAGTAGCTGAAGACTCTTACCTAAATAACCAAAAAAGTAAAATAAGTAACCCTGCAAACAGTAGAAATCTCCCTGGTCTGTGACAGTTACACCAATCTGCAAGTGCAAGAGGCTCCTTCTCAGCAGACGCCTGCAAGTGTGTGACCATGTCGGAGAACTGACTCATGAATTTGGTGCCAGGAATAAGCTTTGATCCCATTCAACATGAGTACACTGCCATGCTAGGAAAGGGAAGCCCGGCCAACGCTCAACATTAACGCCCCCACAGGCACGGCAATGTCGTCCAAGACCACCAGGCTAGCTAATCATACTCTCTAATGGCCCGCTTGAGCCAGGGGTTTCAAAAGGACTCCCCTGTCCACCCTTCCCCACACTCATTTTGGCATAATTGTCATCAATGAGCCAGACGGCTATGGGGATGCTCTATTGTGCGGTTCAGTGTTGTTTCCAGCATCTGTTACCCATGTGGGTAGGGAGCCATTCAATACACTGGAATGGTAAAGTGGGAAAATTGGTAGCAAGTCATGCCTCAGGCTTACTGCAGCCTGTGACAGAACCTTACAATCTGTACAACTGACGTAAATTAGGTGGATGCAGGAAACTAAATGGATCAGGGTTTGGATCGAGCTGTGGTAGCCAATACCAATCAATTAAAAAATACCTGAATCAGACCCAACACCAATCAATTAAAAAATACCTGAATCAGACCCAATACCAATCTTTGATATCGCCTTGGGACATCACTGGTAATAGTTTTGAGATATCAAAAAAAATACTTATACCTACATAAAACTGATCCCAGCATGTTAAATGCATGCCAGGTGAAATCGCAATCGAACAGAATGTACACAGAATTCCCCACCTGTGAACAGCTGTGTAGCTAAAACAGCATTAACACCCTAAGGCAGGATTTTGCACATCTGAATTTATAGCTACAGGCAATAAACACCCATAAGTAAGCTATGCATATGATGCAGAAGCACAAATCCCCCCCTCTTCTTAATGTGTTAGTAATTTTACAAAATGTCAAGTTTAAAGTGTGCTAGATCAGTATTTAAAATCCATACAGACTTAATTAATATATGTGGGCTCAACATCCTAAAACTGAACAAAACTTCATTACATTTCAAGAACTATACAATAGTATGCTCAGCTTTCCATTCTTAGTCAGTACACGTAAACAGCATTGTTTCACATGGCTTAATTAAAGCATGTTGTTGTTGTTCATTTAATCAAGTAACCTTTCCTACTGTTGAACTAAGAAAAAAAAAAAAAACTTCCACATAGTTGAGGCAACCCCACCCAGGAGAGTTCAAAGGGAATTTCTGTCTCACATTGTATTGCAGAGACCAAAGAAAAGCCAACAGAATCAACTAATTGTACACCTATACAGAAAGGCTGGCTTTGGGGGGCAGCTTACTGTTGCTTTACATCAGGACTGAATCCCTCTCTCTTTCTCTCATAGACAGACAGGGAGGGACTTGACTAACACTTCACAAATATACAAGGCAACATCATATTCTAACGCAAGATGTACCATATGCTGCTTAGTTGTTGCTTCTTGTTGTTGTTGCTCAGTTGTTAGATGTTTTATCCTAAAAAGAACCACGCCAATAAGGAGGGTTAAGATCAGAAGGTTAAGCACGGTTGGGACACACAAGTATGAGCAGAAATCTTTAAACTGCAAGCATTCTCCATTACGTGTTGTATGACGTGATTAAGTTTCAGTTCGAATTGACAAGTTCTGTATTTTCATATCTGGTAATTACAAGTCTTTACCAAATATAATTTGGAAGGCTGGGTGTGCCATAAAACCTACATTTAAAGCAATGGGTAGAGAAAGACTATCAATTTCAAAATCACAGTGGGGGTGGGGTTGACTTGACTATTTCGGACACAAAGGAAACTCCAATACAACACTCCGTAACACCTAGGACACCTTCCTTGTTCCTAGCTAAAAAAGCAGCTGTCAGTAAGCTAGTGCAAAAACTATGTTGGGATAAGAGCGTGGGGGGGGGGGGGTTTGGGGGGGCTACTGATGCACACCAACTAACAGCACTGTTACATTTGAATTTCAGGCTTGCCCTTAAACTAGACAGTCTATGGTTTCCTTATAGAGCAAAACCTAAAAATAGCTTTTCACAGGAAATTAGCTGTATGGGTCTCTCACCACAAAACCAAGAGTCTGTATGCTAATAAGCACTGGGGGCTGAACAGCTCTTGATGTGGCAAGGTCTAGTCTCCCTCCTCCAACATTGATACTAGAGCAGAGAAGATGGCCCAGAAAAAAAAAATAGACTGCACGAGAGTAACCTCGTGTTAGTGTGCACACACCACCACTGGTCTAAATACCAGGAAAAAATCCCAAGATAAAAACTATCCAAGACAACAAAATGGGACTCATTTACACCCACTATATCCCACTATATAACTACCAGGGTTTGGCCTTAATAGGCAAAGGGCAAGGTTCATATTTGCACAGCCTACACAAACCCGTCTGCTAAAACGGTTTTCCATTGTAGCTGTTAAATCCCTTCATCATGCACTGCTTTTGTGAAAAATCCAGTGGTACACAATTACGAAAAGGACCCCACTACCTAAATTATAGTTCAGCTGGGTACACTGCAACTTGGGAATACCCACCATAGTCAAGATGAAAATAGATGTCAAAATGAAAAAGAAACACCCGCTTTCACGACAAATTACAGGTTGATATATTCAGTAATTAAATATTCTCTTCCTGTACAGCTAGAATATGAAGGAAAAGAAATGTAATGATTAACCTGGAAGAGGAATAAAGTAAACATGAAAAAAAAAATTTAAGAAAACATAAGGATAGAAAGCAGAATATTCTGATTACTTCAACGAAAGCCATTTCAATGTGGGGAGGTCTTATACAAGAAACATATAGCAAAAAAGACCATCTGAAATCCAGAGACATTCATTTCATATTGCGTATCCACAGGTTACCCACATCGAGTAGCCTCAACCTTCTGGGCAAGCAGAAGCAAATTCGCAGTACAAGTACCGTTCATATGATACTAGAGGGCAAGTCATTTCACAGTATTTGCAGTTTACTACCCAACCTGAACATCTCAGGAAGCAGCCCATGATCACAACTGCTAGCCAAGTCAGGAAGAATTAGCACAGAAAAACTCTGGCACTGGCTTTTTATACTGCAGTTAAGTCACGATGTCATCGCTAAAGTATGTCATAGACAAACAAAAACAGCTGCTTAATTTAAAACAACAAAAAGTTCAGTTCCCAGGTGTTAAAGGAGGAGCCTTTGCTATGACACGCAATATCTTCACAGGGCTCATAACCACGAAAGAGCTAGCCCAAGTACTAGAATAACTTGTTTCAGAAGAGGTCAGCATGATCCAGTTAGTAATTCAATTTGGTTTTAAGAAATCATCATTCAAATTTCAGCAACTTGGGAGGGGGTGCCAAGACCTTACAGTGACTGGTATGACAGGACAAGATAAGTTTATCAGTAGTCTAAACATCCGTCCTTCCCTTTTAACACACTGAAATTTCTTTGAGATAGTATGGGGCAATTAAACATTTGAGATGTCACACATTCTGAAAAGGGCCAACAAAAATCATACCGATTCCAGAAGATGCGTAGAAGGTACATAATAGATGGAAGAAAACCATTAGACATTTTACAAATTTCTGTAAAATCATGTGAACAGTTCTGTCACACTTAAGTGATACTACCACTGGTTCATTCAAACTTGCATAGCACAGCACTATGTCACAGAGTCATGAACCTTTACAATGACAGTACTGTTATAAGCAGCCTAAACCCCTTTGTGGAAGAACTATTTTAAGATGAATGAAGCCCATGGCTATAGTGGGAGGAAAAGGTCCTTTTTTTGTCTGTGTGAATGTTTAATGACTGACAAGTTAGTGTGTAACAGGTACAGCAATGGTGCGAAAGTACAATTAACCTTTGGTACTTCCAGCTCGATCAGTACTTCGTATTGTTAGGGCAACAAGGTTCCTCAGTATAAAATGTCCGAAGGTCAATACATTTCAGCTATTTGGCCTTATTCAGGTGTGATGGAGGCAAACTCAAGAGCTTCATAAATAGATGCGAGTAAAGGGGACATGCCCTTTGGATATTTCTGTGCGGTGACGTGTTAAATCGCATCACAAACTCGCCCATCTTTGCCAAAAACAGGAACTTTAATTAGCCCACCACGTTAGGTGGGCTATCGAAACAAATATGCTCCGCTAGCCCCACCGAGTTATAAATACCACGTCAAGTACCCGAAGAGGCCCTCGATGCACTTCACAATAAATAGCTCAGAAATGTAGCAAGTCGTTATAAAAAAAATTATCTGGAAACATTTATCTATCTATGCCTCACGAAAAACCTCCAATACAGCTCCTTCCAATACAGCTTACACAATTCAATTCAACCCAATAGTACACATCGTCCAATAAGCCCAATGCAACCTTTCACTGGTGTCTCATAGGTCGCTTCAATGCTAAAATGAGATATGTGATATTATATTACAGAAGCCAGGAGGACAAAACGTCAAGGCACTACAGCACAGGCATTTCACTTTGGCCACGGTAATACTTAAATCATTTAAATGGCCGGTACTTCTGCCATAATCTGGTTAATAGAGTTGTTTACGTGTCTGTAAATTACGGACGGGCAACGGGTCACCGTTAATTTCCAAGCTACCCATCTGACGCACAAAAACAACACTGCGGAGTTTCTTCCTTTCTTTTGTATTTTCATTTTATTTTTATTGTAACAGAGCACGATTTCATATCGCGGCCGTCTTAGGCCGCAGCCCTCGTCCCATCATCGCCCAGGCTAACGGGAAAACATTACCGACGACGGCCCCCCTCCCGTTACTTACAGTCCAAGTGTTTCTTTTTCGGACCCATGATTTCGTGCGTGGTCGCCTTGCACACGGTCTTGGACACGGCCGAGCCGGTGACGCTGTGCTGGGCCGCCGTTATCCTGTCCGTTATGCTCTGTCCGGACATCTTCTCGCCGTTTTCGTGGAGGGGGGGGGGGGGCAACAAAAGAGGCAAGAGCGGCTCTCCCCAGACGGAGCGGCGGTCGTTAGGGGCGTCCAACACCTGGCAGCAAACAAGACGGAGGACGGGGAAGTGGACGGGAAAATAAAACCCCACACGCACACCACACCGGCCGCCAGCAGGATAAGGGGGGAAAAACACACAATTTAGCTAGTTTGTATCCACGGCTTGGTCCATAGAGCACCAATGTGGATAACGTGCTTGAGCGTCGGGCTGAGAAACAAGATAGAAATCCACCGCCTTTTTTGTTTTATTTTGTGACAATAGAGATCCTCTCTTTCTCACTCCCTCACCCTATACCACACACTCTCTCACTCTTTCCCCCCTCACTCGCTCTTTCCTTCTGTCGCTCCGCTCTTTTTCTCTCTCTCTCTTTCGCCTCCCCCTACTGGGTTTAAATGGACTGGAGGCTTGCAGGAAAATGGCGGGTCTGCTTCCTTTCCCGACCGGAGCCTCCCAAGGTTCGTGGGGATGTGGTGGCGTTCACTACGCGCCCCGCACAGTCGGCGCTTCGGGAAAGTGACGCCATTGTGGCTCTAGCATAATTTCGGATCGACGTCCTTTCGGCTCAGCTGTTGGAGCCAAGATGGTGGCCACAGCACCACAGTGACCTAGCTGCCACCGCGCTATCGTTTCGTCTCACGTGACTTTTTGTATCTGAGGAAATAAAGCGAATGCATTCCCAATTACAGAGAAAACGACATTAATCCCGCTGCCGTCAGTTGTACAATATCCACTGTGTGCTCGTTACAGGCAAAGCCAACAGTGTAAAAAAATAAAGGACCTAACAGTGTGTTAGATTATGGTGAGAAACTGTTATTCTACGGAATACCATACATAAACTATTTTAAAGTGCTCAGGCACAACCTCAGAGATGTGTGAATATTTTACAATAAATGAGTTTTAATGCATTTTCCAATTTTTAGTGGGTATTTATTTCTGAGCGTCATTGGTATCCAGTACGTATTATATATAATAACAGATTCGTTTTCATGTACCGAATTAATTATAACAATATAACAAAGAAGCAACGTACAAAAAATAATAAAACAAATAAATAAGCAGCGTGCGAAATGCATTTTCTCAGGACACCTTTAACATACAAACTAAATCCCAGGTGGTTTCTTCACACACAGTGTGAGCATAAATAAATTAAATACAGCTGTCAGTCTGCATCATATAATCCACGTTGTAATTTGGGGGAAGAATGGAAATCCCCTTCTTTAAATACCCTTCCATTGAACAGACATGGCAGTTTGGAAGTTAAGCATCAAACTCAATTCACAAGATGGTGTTTCGTTTCAGTTCCTAAATACTGTTTTTATAATAGAACTCTGTTACATTTGTAGGTTCTAGTCTACATTTTTTTTCCAGTCTGGCTGCATTTGAAGTATTGTGGGGCTGTTTGCTAGCTGAATGCACACTTTGGTGCCTCTTGGTAACACAAAGGCGACACCATCCTTCCTTTACTGTAAGTTCTGTGAACTGGTGGCCTCTGAATGGTTTGTACGCCACCAAGGGAAATACAGATTATATGCAAAAAATGAGTAGGATTTTATCTAGATCTGCAACCTTTAGTATGCTAAAATGCTCACTGACATATAATTGATTGGGTTCCTTTTTAAACATCATGTCCTTTTAACAAGGGTATCCAGGGGGTGGGCTGATTGCGAGAGCCGTCTGGTTTGGCTGCCAGACTTTATGTGTATTATTTCACACAACCAAACATGCAATAATAGGTGGAAACTGATGTAATACTAGATTCTAAATAAATCCATAAATGTAAGCTTTATAGTGATCATGGTATGTGCAGGTTGTCGTTACACTTTGCTTGCATGTGTAGCCAGGACTGCTGGAACTACAGTGGTACCTCAGTTCTCGAACTTATTATAACTCGAATTTCTTAAAAGTCGAACCAACCTAGAACTCGATCTGAATCTCGATCAGAAGTCAAACCGTGAACGCCGACCTAAGATAACTTGTACACGCGGGGAAATGAGTCACGCGGCACGTCTCTCGGCGGAAACAAAGGGTAACGCTTCAGTCTCAGCCTGGCATTTGCTGTGATAGCACCATGCATCTTTACACTAACTGAATACATATATGTAGACAGTAAAAATACATTTAGACAATGATAGACAGTAACAGTAATTATTATATAATAAAATACATTTTAAAATAAAGATTTCTTATTAATTATTTTAATATTAATAATAAACCATTAATACATTTAATTATAATAATAGTGTGGTACCCAGCGGGGACAGAAAGGAGACAAAGGCGCAGACGTCAGGGTATCGGGGAATACGGGGCTTAATTACAGGTAAGGCAGGGAAAACGCAGACGGACAATACAATGACTGGACTGGGGAAACAAACTGAAACGCGGACTAAATACAGAGGACTAATGACAACAACCAGAAACAGCTGATCACACGGGGATTCCACACGGGGTTAATGAGGGGGCGTGGCACACGGAAGGAGCGGATGATCGGGGCAGGACACATTGTTTGGATACATTTATTTTCTTACTTTAAAAAGTACTGTTTTGATAAATGTGCTTAGATGTGTTTAGTACAGTATATGCTCTTCTTGTTTTATCCGGTTCATTTTGTGTTTAAATGCTAAAAAAAAATAAAAAAAACATATTTCGGTGTAATTTCTTGGGGCCAGGAACCAATTAATTGGTTTTCCATTATTTCTTATGGGGAAAATTCGATCAGAACTCGAACTTTTTAGGATTCGATCCGGAGTTCTGAACAGATTAAGTTCGAGTTCTGAGGTACCACTGTATATGATTTTATAACATAATTTGTAATGTTACTCAGTTTAGTTGTCACCTGTCCACAAGACCGATCTGTTCTGTGCTATGTTCATAGTTTTCTCATATGCTGCAAAAATATAAAAAAGCATATGGCATCCACATTATTAGGTACTGAAAACTGTGGTGTCCGTTTGTGGAATTGTAGTTTCAATTATTTTTTTAAACTATATTATCACACTGTAATAGGTAGATTATGTACCAGTCTTCATACATTAATTGGAGGAAATTTTAAAATATTTAAACTATTTAACATGATAAATTACTCCTTTTATTTGTGTCGCATTTGTCTTGATTTACTATAGAAATTGCAGCTGCTACAGAGTTTAGGAATAAATTGGTCAATAAAGAATCTTAAATAGTCTCACTTTTCAAATGTCTTAAGGTAAATTCACAGGTCAAATTTTTGTGCAATGTTTATTCTTTTGCATAAGGAATGCACCACAGGTAATCTAAATGTCACTTTGATACTAACGTCAGCATTATAACCATTACATTTTTACCTTGACAGTTAATTGGTGATGAAAAATGAAAGCACGGCTTATTTTAGCTACATTAAGTTCTACATTATGCTATAGAAAGTTATGCAGTAATTTATAGTATTCTGAAAAAGAAATGTTGTATTACACAACCCAATATTTCCTCTTAAATTCTTGTTCAAAGTCCCACCGTTATATTTTGAAACACCACGCTGTTTACTAGGAGGCCATCTAGTGACAAATAGCTGTAATTACAGCATGATTTATGCAACAGTTCAGATGATTACAAGCAGGCGGGTCTATCGCTCATATGTATTTCTAACATAACTGAAATATTTTCACAGAATCATATATTTACAGAGAACATTCTTTGTATAATCAAGCTTTTCTGTTATATTTATTTGTCAAACGTATTAGCCTGTAAAAGACCTTGCTGAAACACTGCAGTGTACTTCATGCTGTGAAATATGGGCTAGGCAATATGACCCAGTTGGGATAAAAAAAATATAAAGAGGCGATGTAATTTCAATATCCTTAATTGCATTTACCTTCATCTCTACCTTAACGCATACTGTGTGATCAATCACAAAAACAAAGCATTGTTATTTTACTTGGGTGGTTAAGTGATTACTTGGGAAATTCACAGACTGACCTTTCAGGGAAATCTTAACTCGTGTATTTCTTTGAATGGAGTGAACACTTTAAGTCATATAATGCAATGCTGCAGAACTGGAACCCATAATCACAAGATGTTGATTCAAGTGGCCAGGCGGCTATACTATTTGAGAGTGAAACTTAAATATCAAAGATTTCAGAATGACTCAAGCATAAAATATTGAAGGTGCTTTTTGATTAAGGGCATGTGCTAAGCAGCGATGCAGACTGACCTATTATTTCATTATGCAGTTGTAAGCATGGTCACCGTAAAGGAGGAGAATTTCAAATTTAGTATTTAATGTATCGCAATGTTGCACTGCCCTCTTAATTGTCTGTGGTCTGTGGACAAGGCATTCAAGCAAGAATTTCATTGTACTTTGTACAGACACTGTCAGAAAAAAAGGGTAAAAATTTGTACCTTTGCTTGTCACTGCATGGGGCTGTACCCTCAATGGTCTGCCAGTTGTACCCTTATCTGTAGGTAATTGTACATTTTAAGGCACAGAAATGGACTCTGAGGAACCATTGATGGTACATTAATACTGTTTGTACCTTTGAGATGTTCCTCAGAGTCCATTTCTGTGCCTTAAAACGTGCAATTACAAGGGTATAGCTCCAGGAACAAGCAAAAGTACACATTTTTACCCATTTTTTCTGAGAATGTATAACAATGAAAGTTTTCATTGTTTTCAAGGGCTCCTGTCTGACGTAATTGTGTTGGTCTGAGTGGGGGACCCAAAATCTCAGGCAGCGCACCTGGTTCCAAGCATATAACCTGATTGCTACATGAGAATAATAAGCATCTTTTTTTTATCTTTTATACAAAAAGTGTAGACATTCCAACGTGGGGTTATACGTGTGACAAGCATGACAATTCCATCCATCCTGCTTATCTTCATTTGGGATACGGGGTGGTGGGGGGTGGTCTATCCCAGGCTGATTGAAGGTGTCAGTAGAGGTCTTACTGTTGACTAAGTCATAATTTTGACCATGTGTTAGTCTTGTCTCTGAGCACTTAGCTAAACATCCGGAGTGCAAAACAAAAAAGTTAATTATCCTGTATGTCTCCAGAGATCTGTCACTGACTGAGGGACCATCCTCTACAGTTCATACAAAGATCTAATGTGAGACTCTGTATGTTATTGGCAAAAACAAGAGTTTAGAGATTATTCCTTACAAGTTATACCCCTATCTCTTAAAAATGCATTTAAATGTTTGAAGCTGTGATGGATGAATTGCTATTGCATACAGGTTTCTATTCCTGAGTCCTTGTACTTCCCAGGTAGGTTAGATGAGATCCACAGCCATGTTCTGGATAAGTAGCTGAAATAAGCATGGGTAGATTTCCTGAATCATACAACATACCATTCTGACTCAGATGGAAATGATATGTTGTATTGTTTAAGTTTTTTTCTTAAATAGACGTACTGGCAAATTATTCATATTAATAAAAAATATTTTTTCCAGTTTCAATTTTTTAAATTGTATTCCAAATGGGCTTCATTTTAGCTTGCTTCAGAACAAACAAAATTCTTCTCATTTCCATTAGAGGGCAATAT